CGTTAGATTATAGATCAATTAATATAAATTCTATATACTCCTGAAGAAAAACATTTAATTCTAGTAAAGCATTTTTTACAATATCTTGTAAACAATTCCAATATTGATATAATCTATTTCAATAAATCAAAAGAATGATCTTATAAATATAATATATTTACAAACTCAATATAGAATTTAATAAATAATAAAAAGTTAGTTTAGGGAATAGTTATTATAATATATAAAGAAGTTATAGTCTGATTTTCTACAAAACAGAAATCTATATTATTATATATAATGAAGGTAGAGATTATTACAGTTAATGAAGATATAAAAGAATTTGTATAAATAAAGAAATTTGTTATTGATCTGAAGAAATAACCAGAAGTTGAGCTATTTATTCTTATTCTTTACTATGATAATGAGAGTGGAATAGACTGAATAAATGAAAATAAGTTTTATAATAAAGTAAAGTATATTTAAATCAGATGGTATTATATTTGTGAACATATAGTTAATATAAAGCGAATATATATAGTATAAATCCTAGAAATGGAACAAATAATAGATATATATATAAAACAATTTATTTAACCAGCATTTTATATCCATAGTTTAGGGTTAGGTTTGGATTTTGAAAAGAAGTAAAAGTACTCTTATATTACAATATAATAAATTCAATCATAGAATAATTGAATTTCACAGGAGATTAGATATTATTATAATAATAACAGAGCTATAGATTGTTATAGAAATTAATGAAACTCTGACAATTAGATTTGGTTAATTTAATCAATTTGGTCAATTTTGATTTGATTAATTTGGTTAATTTTATATAAAGAGATTATTTTGTAGTATATACTTCAGGATAATCAAGGTTTTGATTATAAAAGGGATATTAGAAAGTTATAGATATTACAGGTATCAGCACTATTTTTCTTCTGTATTCACTATTAGTATACATCTTGTTTACTTATATGCTTAATAACACAGCTTAGATTCTATACCTGAATATAATCTACATACACTTCTGACAAATATATACTCCTCGTATATTATTCCCATTCCATAACTCATTCCATAACATAATCTTACATACAACACACTGGCAGTATAATATTTCATTTCAAGCACCCACCACGATGAGTCGATATCTTGTCTTCCATATCCTCAAGCTGTTTTTTCTTCTTCTTTTCTCGCACAGGTGGACCCAAGTGAAGTACCCAAGTGAAGCACCCAAGTACCCAACTACTCCACAGAAACCTCCACAATAACCTCCACAATAACCTCCACACAAGCGCTTAATAAACTCTAAGATACATTTCCCCGAGCCCTCCTCTTCCTCCTCCTCCTTCTCCTTCTTCTCTCTTCCCTCTTTTCCCTCTCTTCCCTCTCCCCCCTTATCTCTTCCTCTACCCATTCTCCTCCTCCTTCCTCCCTTCCTCCCTTCCTCCCATCAATAAAATCAAACTACGTACACTCCACCAATCACTCCATTCCAGTCTAGTCCAGTCTTACCCCTCTATTCCCTGAAACTCGATCTTAACCTTAACCTCAACCCAACACCCAAATCAACACCACATTCATGTCTCGCAGGAGGTGTTGCAACAAAGTTGTTCACATCACATTTACGGAGTATGTTCATCACAAGTATCTCGAACAGAATATTTAGTGTAAATCGACATGTGCAGTGAAGTAAAATCTCTTTGTTCGGCAGTTTGATACCATCAACCTATGAACTTCCGAAAATCCTATCAAGGTTCAACAAACTAATGGCGCCAGTAAATTTCAATCCCAAATCCCACGCTCCATAGATTCCCCCGTTAATCACATCCCCCCCCCCTCCCCCCAAGCTTAAGCGGCAGCAGCAACCGCTTGCTGAGGTGGAACAACGCCAACACGCTCCTTCGATAATATATCTACGAGAAGAGGATTTGGTTTGTTACTCTTGCCAGCTGGGTAGACAGCTTGGTTCTTCTTGTAGCTTTGGACATTCTCAATATACATATCGAAGAGATATGAGGAATCCATTGGCCCTCCCTTGGCTTCAGGATGGAATTGTGTGGAGAAGATTGGACGAGTCTTGTGAATCATACCTACGATTTGTTAGCAAGAGTATAATGCGAAACTTTAGGGATAATTACCTTCGTTAGATCCATCATTCAAATTGACAAAGTATTCCTTCCAATCGGATGGCAGGGTAGTCATATCAACGGCATAACCATGGTTTTGACTGGTGATATGGCATTGACCGGTGGTCAAATCGAGAGCTGGAATGTTGTGGGCACGGTTTCCATACTTAAGCTTGATGGTGCGGGCACCAGCTGCAAGAGCAAGCAATTGATGTCCAAGACAAATACCGAAGATTGGAACTTGGGAAGACTCCATCAATCTAGTCAAATGGTAGACAGTCTCTTGGCAATGGGTTGGGTCACCAGGTCCATTGGAGATGAAGACACCATCAAAATGATGGGCGACCTTGTGAATTGGGAAATCGTATGGGAAGACGGTGACGCTTGCTCCACGAGCGACCAAACTTCTCAAGATATTCTCCTTGACACCACAATCGATGACTGCAACGTGCATATCTCCATGGGGAGAGCTAACGTGGAATGGGGCCTTGGTGCTAACTTTTTTGACCAGGTTGATTTGTTCAGGATCAACGAAAGCCTCATCTTGATCGGCATCATATTCTTCTCCAATGGTGATTCGAGCCAAAGAAGAACCTTCCTCTCTCAAAAAGGTGACAATGGCTCGGGTATCAACACCAGAAATAGCTGGTACACCCTCACGAGCACACCAATTGGCCAAACTTTCCACAGCAGTCCAGTGACTATACTTCTCAGCATAATCTGCAACAACCACACCAACACATTGAATGTTTGGTGACTCAAAGTATTTCAAAAGTCCATGTTCATCCCTGGCAGATGATGGAACACCATAGTTTCCGATCAAAGGTTGGGTGAAGACCAGAATTTGACCACGGTAAGAAGGATCGGTCATAGATTCGGGGTAACCAACGAGGGAGGTTGTGAAAACAGCTTCACCAGAAATGTTGGACTTTGCGCCAAAAGATTTGCCGTGAAAGACTGGACCATCCTATCAAAAAAATCGTCAGTCCAAATCTTTCTCCACACACCAACCAACACAACATACCCTGATTGTGAATGTAGCTCGATCATGAGAGATAGGGGTAGCACGAGGACGAGTATATGGCATGGCACGACCAGCACTTCCTTCAACCGTGGCTAGGAATCGAGTTTGTTGTGCGATTCTTTGAATGCCATATCCGGTTGGCTTGAAAGCTGCGGGCTTTACGAATCGTGAAAACATGATTGTAGTATGTTTGTTTTTATAATATTTAGTGGGCGGTAGGTTTGAGAAAGCGATTTCAGTTTACTGAAGCTTTCCAGATGTGATCTACAACAGGAGTGTTAGAATGTCGGCGGTGTAAAGCAATCGTTGGAGGGGTCATGAATAGGATTAATGTGCGAACCTGAAATGTAATCCTACAATATGTTAGTTGGTTTTCATTTTGAGCATTCATTGAAGCTGCTACGGATGTTTTGCTCGATGAAGAGTCATCCCCTACTTAGGAATGGCTAGTAAAAGGATTGAATTCAACTTTGAACTCAAAGATAAGAATTGAGGCTTCTGATGATTTTGACTCATCATGATAGACAAAGGAAGAGAACGTACCTGGGATGTAAAAACTGACGAGCGACCACTCATACGCGCGACTTTTCTATTCGTATCTGATAGATCAGTTGAAGAAGATTTTTGAAGTTTTAGATTGTAATTGTTGAAGAGCAATTCATCGAAATGTAAAGTAAAAAATTGTGGAGTTGTGTATTTGGTGTTTGGTGTGACAGAGTGACAAGAACAGGATGGCAAGAGAAAAAGAATCAAGTGGGAAAAAAAGTTGAATGCCGCTTTGTTCTTTGGAGTGAGGCTAAAATTATCTTAGAGAGATATGATTGGTCAATTGTATAAATTATTAGAGGGAGGGGTCTCACCAAAAAAAGAAGTTGATGAGAAAAAAGATTAAGCGAATTTGAATCTTGACGGGAAGAGAAGGGAAATAATTTCTCAATCCTTTTACAACATCAACCAATCAAACATAAACATCACATCTTATCTCCCTTTTCATCCAAAGTGGATATTGACCATTTTTGACAAACCATACCTACCTATCCAAAGGAGGGCAGGGCGTAGATCCAAGACAGCGGAAGACAGCGGGTGATACTGTAAAAGCAGCTTCCCGATTATATATACTAGGTAGAACTCCAAACTCCACGCACAAGATACAGGATATCAACAATTCAGTTCACTCATATCATATCGATCTCATATCGGGTTCAATCACTCACTCACCGACTATAGAATTTCTGCTATGAATGTTAAACTTCTTCTTTCTCCCCCTCTCTTCCCTGCTCCTCTCTTTCCTCCTCCACTCTTCCCTCTTCCACTCTGCTCTGTAGAACAAAAAACTAACCCTATATAATCACCATCATATTATACCATACCATAACCATATAAAAGCACAGCCATGAATCAACTGAAGTACCAGTGTCTATCTATATCTATCCCATCTCACTGCTAGCAGTACCGGTACCGGTACTGTATCTACTTCCTTTCCAGTAAGAAAATCAGGGGCTGAAAAGGACAAAAACCCCGCTATATGTGGCGTGGCGTGGCGGTGGGTGGAGGGGGAATTTCCCATCAAGTTCCAGGATTTGGGTCGGGTCGGGTTGTGTAGCGAATTAGATCATGTAAATTACGAAATCACCTTGGTTTTTTTGGGACGAGCCTTGGTCTACGAGTACTTGTCTTACCAACATACCGGTATATTGATGCACCGGGTGAGATTAGAATCTTTGATATGTACTAGTTAGGTAGGTAGGTATGTACTATGTATTATGTACTCTGTGTGTGTGGTTGGTTTCATAAACATGGTTTTATTTCAAGTACCTATCTACTCGAGTATCTAATTACAGTACTAATCATTTTGAGATATGCTTCTTGTATTCTCTACCGCTACAGTACAACTAAATCATCTTACAATTCGACCGACATTGGTCTTTTTTTATTTTTGACGAGACCTTCCTTCTGGTCATTTGAAGAGAATTTTGCCCATTAAGATCTTGCTCTTCAGTAACGTCTATCTCGATCTCGAGGTGGTGCTCTGTAGCTGTCATATACTCTGTCGACTCCTCTATCATAGCCTCTATCACCTCCTCTACCTCTATATCCACCACCTCCACCACCACCACCTCCACCACCACCACCTCTACCCTGGTATCCAAGTCGACGCTGGTTTCCTGGTCCTCGATGGCCTGGTGGAGGTCTGATGCCTGAGAAGATTTCTTTTCCACGATCAACAAATTTGTCTCCATCTTCAAATGTATATCTGTTGATGTCTGATCCAGTATGGCGTTCAATATCTTTGGTGGTGACATCTGCGATTGCATCAAGTCGTCTATTGACTAAATCCTCTGAAGCTGGTTGCCAGTAAAGCGTCGGTTGTGTTGTAGTAGATTTGAAGAGCTCGGCCAGATTACGTATAGGAGCAGGTCTTGGGCCACCGAAGCTTCTAGGTCCTGATGGGGCTCCTTCAATACCCCTTGATGGTCCTGTCGGCGCAGCAAATGGAATTGACTGCTTTCTCGCCGACGTTATTTGAGAGTCTGCCGTAGATTCCTGCAACACAGCAGTAACTTGACGATCTCCATCATTTTCTATCTCATCGTAGACTACTTCCCACTTCTTTGTATTTCGTCCCGGGCCAAATGCTTGTTCTTGATCGATCCACTCTTTAACTTTTTCGTCTGGTATAAAATCCACCCATAATGCTTTGCGGTTTGGTTCATCAGGCCAGATACGATCATGCATTACGCTGCGTACTCTTGCTGCGGCAGAGAGAGTTTTAAATTGAACGAGTGCGTGTGTTCGAACGCGATCCATATGGAAATGTAGAATAGCATCTGGATCGGATTCGCTGCCAGATGGAGTAGCAAGAGTTGTGAGGTAATCATGAAGTCGAGGTTCTTGGAGTGGTCGAACAAAGTTGCGGATATAGAGAGCTGAAGTTGCAGGATGAATAGCTGGAGTGATTGGGTTGTATGACGATTCATCCTCCATGGGCTCTTGTGAATAACGTACTATTTCTGTACCTTCACTAGATTTTTGTGGAGAAGTGAACAGGTTTTTGAACCTCGAATCGCGTGGCCGCGAGACTTCCGGTGAAGTTGTCGCAACTTCAACATTTGGCTGAACCTCCGCAATATCAATATCCATTGTGTCGGCTTCTTCCTCATTCGTGTTTGAAATTGGCTGCTCAACCACCACTTCTTCTTTGGAGTCATCAACGATTGTAGGCTCATCTTCGCCCATTATTACTTCCTTTGATTCCACGTTGATATCACCTGTATCAACCGCATTGTGTGTCTCCACCCATTTTACATCCTCTTTCGACGTCGTAACTTCTTCAGTAACATCGCTTGGGCGAGCGCGTTTTCGGGAACCATCAGTAGAAGTTGGGGCTGGACTTTGCGATCTGCGCTTTCGCTTCTGTCGGTCTTCAAGCGCCTCTCGTGGTTCGAGGGAAAGCTCGGCAGAGCGATTGACCTCAGGTTGTTCGGGTGGCTGAGATGTTGCTTGGGAAGGAGGCTGAGAGAATTCCGTTGTATCTATAGTTTGTGAGAGTCGAGCTTCAACTTGTTCTCTTGTGTTATCTGCGAGGGGCTGCACATCCTCTGGAACTGGTGTCGGTTCAATTGCCACTTCCTTAGTTTCGGCGGGCTCAGGAACCGACTCCGTTAGACTTTCTGCGGTAACTTCAACATGAGATGAGTGAATTTCGTTATTTTCGGGGATTGGCTCTGCTTGTGGTTCTTCTGCATCTTCAGCTGTGGGCTCTGCACCGATATCGAAAGATGATGTTTGTGTGGGTGAGATTGTGTCTGGGGATGTCGCAGATTCTGGGTTTGTTTTGTTCCCATCGTCCTGAATGGTCCCATCACTTCCCGACCCATCTTCATTTTCTGCGGCAGCTGTGAGTCGAGCGACAAGAGCAGGCTTAAGTCCGGTTTGTGGAAGGCCTCGTTTCTTCAACTCTGCTTTCAGGTCAATGACCTTTAACTTATTCCAATCAGTCATTGTAGATAGTATAGTGTGCGAGTCAATCTAACACAATGCGCATTGCTGAGAAATTCAATTAAAAATTGGTCAATGGTTGAAACACAAGGAGTGAAATGTATTTAGTATAATTGTGTGCTTGTTGAGATGCCTTTCCTCCTCTAATCTTGTCGTAGAATGAGAAAGAGAAATTGTACCTGCAAACATTCATCAAAAGCCTGATATCAAATTCAAACGAAATTCAACGCGTCAGGATCACGTCCGATGCCTGTCAGATATACGGAACCAGCCGGCCGCCCTGGCACGTGTCGGCCGCACTCCATACTTGCCTTATATTTGAGGCTTCAAGACATAATTTCTGTCCAATATCAAATTTGATGGAAACAGCTTCAACTCCAAAATCCTATACACCTCATCACAACTCTCAGACACAGCATATGGAAAGATGGAGATATATTTGCATCTATCTAAGACTTTCACCACCTCACCTTCATAAAGAATCTCCATATTACGTTTATTATTGTTATTGACCTAGTACCGACCAGTACAACAACTATACCGGTACTGCATAATCCACAAAATCTCGAGTCTCTACTTTCGAATTGCTCCTCGAGTGCTCACTCGAGTTATTCCTCGACCCTGTTATGGTGACGATTGTCGTATTCTTAACGCCCTCTTTTATAGGATGTAGTTCCTCATTGCTTACACTCACTTCTCTACTTTCCCATATCTCTAAACTATTATGCACAGTTAGTTGTCTGGCCTCTGCTACTTTGGAGATTCAAAGCTGCCAGCATCTGAGAGCACAGCATAAAACGACTTACCCTATTGCTGCACCTAAGCTACCTTCTGTACTTCCATCAAATATCCCCTCTCTACTTTCTGTTCTATATATCGATTTTTCTTTTTTGTTTCCAAATCTTGAACCAGTCACAGTACTTAACTTTTTCTTCGATGCCAATTTGGGTTTGGTCTTAGTTCCGTCTGTTGATCCCGACCAAGACCTCAAATTGAACAATTTCCTTGCCAATGGCCAACACATCGGTATATTGGTTACATACATGACAGTTGATGCTTCTCGAATGTACCACTTCATCCGTCGAGGTTAGTCTTTGCCAGATAGACGACAGAAAAACGTTAAAAGCTTACGTATGTCCACATCACGCTAAAAGGATGTGTGAAAGAATAATATTTGCTTACTACAGCAGAGGCAATGGCGAATATGCCAAGGGAGAAAACACTTATGAGAAGAATCTTCCTAATTATATTGTCAGCGTAAGGTTCGAAAGAGTTTAGGTAGCGGCCTGATAAGGAAAGGAACGCACTTCAATGTCGGAAGTTTTGCCTTCAGAACCAGTGGCATTGGTAGAAACAACATCATAAGATCTGAACTTATGTTTAACGTGGCGTTCACTATCAAGTGATGAATAGCTGTTGAGCATTGTTCTGACATTTGCATCAGCCAATTATCTCAAGAAAAGAGGCTTTGAACCAACCATTTGGAGATGGAACTGCCCAGTAGTTGGAAAATGGTTGACACCATACCCCGAAATAGAGAATTTCCATTACCACCAAGCCTATCCCCACGTACGCGGCTACTAATTTCACAATTAGATTATGGGGTTTGATACCTCTCCTGTTTCTTGAATTAACATTGTTATTATACATCGCAAAGGCGGGAACGTACATCATCATCAGATACATGCACAACAAACAAGCTTTGCCGCCCCAAACGGTCATAATCATGGATTGCTCCACCACAAGGACAAGTTTACTGCCTTTTATACGGGACGCAATAGATTCAGGAGTGAGCTATTGAACCCCTGTCAGTTGTACACTTCAGAATCTGGTGGTTATCCACACGAACTTGTGGAAAATCAGATGGAAGTATAAGATTTGTATCGAAATGATATGCCATATTTGTGGTTACGACGAGAATGGTATAAAAGATCTACGAACATGTTAGATAATGGAAAACAAGGGATGAGCTGAAATGGCACAACTGATAATATGCGTAGAAAAGGAAACACTAATTGGAAATAGACATTACTTACAAACACCACGAGCATGATATAATCTTGGACCTGATAGTTCTTTATCGATCCAAGTTGTACCCATCTCGAAATGCTGGGTATGAAATTTCAGTCAGTCTTATTCTCACACCACGACTAATTCTTCCGAGGAATGACGACGGGATTGATCCCAAACCGCTATAAACTTCATGTTATTTCGAAATTGTGATGTACGTACTATCTAAGGATGACAATCACCACCGCAAACGGGTACCAAGTCGCAGTTTCCACCAACGGAGAATGCATTTTGTACGTCTCGATTTGTCTATCAACTGGTTCCGACTGTGCGATATCCTGCCAGAAATCCACTTCGTCTTGATCATCCAAGCGTTGATGCTAATATATCATGTCACCCGAAAGAGACGTCAATCGCATCGAGCGAACTCAGATATGAGATGGGAATCGACGAAAACAAATTATAATTGGTATTTTGAAATAATAATGTACAAAACCAACGCAAGAGGACTGGTATAAAATCCGAAAACTTTCAAGATCCGTAGAATGGGAATGGGAAGTGCATTACTGTATGTATACCAGAAGTCAATATTCGTCTGAGCTTGTTTCTAAGATCTATGATGAAATGAAAGATAACGAGCAAAGATAAGAAGGAAGCTAGAAGTAATTGTGATACTTGGAGTATTCGCCATGACATCCAAGACTAAGTGTTTGAAGTGGTGAAAAGACTTCTTCGCCACATGCCAAATACTGAGGTATGGAGTTGAAGTTAGTTGCATCTTTCCCCATCAAGGTATCGGGAACAAGCAACGGGTTTGGAGATGTGAGCTGGGATGACTAATGCTTGGAGATAAGTGAGTGGGTTGTATGAAGTGGTTTCAGATGATGAGTTTATTGTTTGTGCTTGGGACCACCCTGGGTGCATTATACTGGTGCATTATACCGGTATACCCGCCGGCATACCATGTATTCAGTCACGCCCCATTCATCCATTGTACTCGTAGAGAATCAGAGCACGGAAATAAATAGATCATTTGGGTAAACTCATCATCCTGTCCACTTCTTCACATATACTTTACACACTACACTACCTACCCCAGATAGATCGACCTTTGACTTCGGAGAATCGATTGCTATACCGGTACTGTGCCGGTACTCCACGATCCAAGATCTTCATCTTTATCTTTATCTTCATCTTCCAATTCTTTATCTACATCTTCATCCACATCCACACTTATACAAACCCTTCCCCTCATCCAACCAATCCAATCTAATCCAATCCAACCCAATCCAACATTAACCTATAACCCATAACCCATACCACAACATCTTGTTTCACCCACGCCAAGTAATAATAAGCCCATCAATGAGTTATCCAATAATTCCTAGTACCCCACACAATGCGCATTATGCTTTGCTAAGCGAGTTTTAAAAGGAGGACTGAGCACTGTTTCGGATATGTATAGATAGATGTACGAGTATGATAAAGAGAAAGGTATTTGTTTGTTTGCGTTTTTGAGGGATTATGTTGTAGAATGTTATGCTATACTCGAGTAATGTAAAAATACTACGAAGAATATGCGATTATTTTTTTCGAGAATGGGGGTATATACCAATAGAAAGAGGAAGAGGAAGAGAAAGAAGAAGAAGAAGAGTAAGAGTAAGAGGATTTCTAGGCGAGTGAGTAGGCTTTTAGATGGTTACATAATGTTATGATGTGTTATATAATCAAAATATAAGCAGAGTTTGTTCTCTAGGCTTTTCGGACATTGTCTGTCTGAGTCGAAATCGATCTTTCTTTAGATTCGCGGTAAGCTGACTATCGGTATGGTCATTTCGTTAGGACTTGATGTGCTACAGTAGCGGTAGCTGTGTCGATGAACGTAAATCAAAGCACACGGAGACAAGTTAGGTGATTGTGCGGATGAAGAAGATGGCGGATATTTTGATGTTGATTTGACCACTTGGTTTGAGAAGAGATTATATATAAGGACAGAATTTCAGGTTAGAAGAAGCTAGGACGTATTGATCATATCGAGTGCTTTCGATATCAATCGTATAGGACTGGTATGGGCATGGATCTATATCTCGTCATGAAATTATCAAAACGCTACGTAAGTAGGATATATCTTTCCCAACTTCTATTCAAGTCCAAAACTCAATGATGTTCTTTGCCTGACCCTGTAATTCGTACATATATACACCCCCTTTCGTTTATGATCGTTTCTCATCCCATTATAATGCGCCCAGTTCCTTCAACTTGGAGATCATCCCGTCTACATCAGCGACTTTACCGCCTCCTTGTCTTGGCGGTGGTTCTGTGTTCATTTTGTCAGCAAATGTTCGGCATACCCTCTCCAGGAATGGATCATAGAGCACAGGTGAGAAAGATCAACCTACCAATAATCTTCAAAGTCTTTAACCTCTTGGTACCATCCACACTCCAATCACCCAATGTAGTTTTCTCCAACTTCTTCTTCTTTGCCTTCATAATACTCTGTAAACTCGCATATCTCGGCTCATTCAATCTCAAATCCGTCGTAATAACCATGGGCAATTTTCCCCTCACCACATCCGTCCCCCCATCCACCTCCTTCGTCACCTCCACAATATCCCCATCCTTAAACTCCACCCTACTCGCCTGCGTCGCCTGACTCCACCCCAACAGTCCCGCCAACATCTGCCCCGTTTGCCCCGCATCATCATCAATACTCTGTTTCCCCAAAAACACCAAATTGCTCTTCTCCCTCTCCACAACCTTTTGTAACAGCTTCGCAACTCCCAATGGTTCCAGTTCCTCCCCGTCTTTGATCTCAACTAGGATACTGCGATCGGCGCCCATCGCCATGGCTGTGCGCAGAATATCTTGCGATTTGGGTGGTCCGGCGGAAAAGGCGAGGATTTCTTCGACGCCGCCGGGCGCGGATTTCTTCTCGCGGATACGCACGGATTCTTCGATCGAGAGCTCGTCGAAGGGATTCATGCTGTGTTTGACACCGTTGGTCTCGATGGCTGTTTGGGCTTTGTTGACGCGGGGTTTGACCTATGGTATTTTGGTTAATTGGGAGTCTTGTTTGTACGGGGAATCAAGGGATTGGTAAGGTGATTAGTTTTTGAAATTGGAGGGGGTACGAACGGCATAGTCAATGACCCTCTTGACGGGTACAAGAATTCTTAAGGCGGTCATGTTGACTGTAGGGTATCAAAATATTCGTCGTCGTCGTGGTGGGAGGAATTTTAGAACGAACTTCTTGATAATGAAGGACCCGGTTTCGCTCGGCCCAAGCTTGCTTCCCCACACCAAAATTCCCGCTCCTCGGCTGGTTGACATCACGTGCCGCATTAGCCCGCGGAATGGTCGTACCGAATGAAGGTGGTCTTTCGAAGCCAGTATTGACCTACAATTCTTTTTTTATGGAAAGTTTATTGTTTATATGTGCATTTTGATCGAATTTGGTGGCAGATCATGCGGATTCGTGTTTTTAATCACACAATATCAGAAGTTCCGAGTGGAAGTTGACACAGCCACTTTCACCAGATAGTGTCTGGAAAGGAGGTGCTTGTGAAAGATCGCAATAGACAGAAGATACTGGCGAAGCAGAGAAATTGAGAGACTGAGAAGTTGTCTATTCGATCCTCAATATCTGAGACCGATGGCTCTGAAAAGCCATAAGTACGATCTGGCCAACCAAAGTATAAAAACTCTCCTTCTTCCCATTTTTGTTGTACCAGTTTCAAAGGGGTAGATCCTCTTGTCTTCTTATACAGTTTTGATACATTCGTGAGAGTCATTGTGCATTAGAGATGCCGTAACGAGAATTCTCGAAAGCTATGACAACTTGCAATGCACCTGTGATAGAACAGCCTAGATCATAGCCGCGTACTTGCGATATGCTGATTTCTTGCTGTCACTGCATGATCGCAGAATCCCTTTGCACTATCTCAATCCTTGCTGTCGGAACAAGAGAATATATTGTGCAAGAGATCATCTCTTTGACAAGAAAATGTACACGTGAAGATGGCGATGATATGTCACAAATGCTTCTGTAATCTCGCTTTACGTATATTGGTTGATTCTGTGCATTATGAAGTTAGTTTTATGCTATGGAGAGTATCCTAGGTTTTATCAATCCTATGGTCGTATATTGATCTCTTTCCACCAAAGCAGTTCATTTTTGAGAATATCATGAGCGTCTAAATCACCAATAATGCATCTAACAAGATGTACGAAATTATCTTCAACCTAACGAAGTATGGGCGAGTTTTATTAGCTCTGGACTAGACAAACTCGTTTCAAAGGTTGTTTTTCTGTCATGAAATCCGACGGTCAAAGCATTTAGCGACACAGTGACCAGTTTTTTAAATTCATGTGCATAATTTTCTGGGAAGATATCGAAGACTTATCATCGCCTGGAGGCCCTCAAGCCAGGTAGAACCTCACGAGCCGCTTCCCGTTTTCCAGGCAATCCTCCAACAGGTTCCTCTTATATATTGTAGTCATGGGGCACGGGGACGGCTCCACGCATTAAACCGTGGAATCGAAGGGTATTCCATAACTCACCAAGCAGCAGCATTCCAAAGAAATGTCCAAATGCCCGATGTGGCTAATCCAGCTTTCACAAACCTTGATGTAAGTGCCAATATCCAAGCACTATTGATATGGAGTGGTGCAGTCTCAATGGTAACACGCCATTACCGTGATACCTAATGTCAAATGAGATCGCCAGAGCTTTGTGGTGAGATGACATACAAAAATATGAGAATGATCAAATCAGAAGAGCCACAGGCAATACAAATGGTGTTATTCAAACCATAAGAAAACTCTCAAGTACCGGTAGATATGTTTCTTAACGCATCTGAAAATGGAAGAGGAGCTCACGGAATGAATACGGCAGAAATAAATATTTGTAGAAGTCTCGGTAAGTAACTACAATGCTACATATTTGCAGGATTAAATTATTAATATTGAAAGTCGTTTCCTGATAACCCTCATTGCTTCAACAAAATTCACATCTGGATTGAAAGAAGCCGTTTCGTCATGACACCCCCCTCCCTCAATAACTCCAACAAAACATCTGTCATCTAGATCCTAACATTTCATCGACATATATAATAACCCCAACTTAGGACCAACGTTAAATTGAATGACCAGTGTTGTTTCCAGCGTATGCAATCTCCCCTCCTCTCCTGAATTTTCCTTTTCTTCCAAATCCTCCTGATTGAAGCCATCCTTCCTCTCCTTTAACAAGGAGTCAAAGATTGCGATAATTGGCAATTGTCCTATCAAACTTCCATTTGAGATATCTGTTTCTGTATATATTGATTGAGCTTGGAAGCCTCTTAGAGTGTCGATATCTGTATGAATCAAGATCGAAGTCGTCATCTTCCGGTGTGTCATAACATTCACTCTCTCCATCCATTGGATCTTTGACTTCTTTTGATGAATCGGAGTAAGAATCGTACATATCGCGATGATGATCCTTATCGCGCTTGGTCTGGAGGCGTCTTTTATTGGACTGGTTAGGGCGGTGTATTGGGTCGGCACGGCTTCCTCGACTAGAAGCCTGGGGAGGGGTGTAAACTTTTTCTTTTTCTCGCTGAGATTGGTGGTGTCTGTCGGTATCGAATCTCCTCCCATCGTTTGGATCTATTCTGGGATAATAATCCTCATCGTACACTGGTAGTGGAGGATCTCTGTGTGTCTCCTCTGTCATTGTGTATTTTCTTTTGTCTTGTCTTTTTGATGTATGATAAAGTTTCATTCTGGATGCAGAAGTATAATCTGCTCTGGTCGGAGGCCCACATCTAATATTAGGCTGATCATCCCAGAGCCAATCAGTGACATCCCTAAAGTTCCCTTTCCTCGGCGGTGGGACCTTTCCGCCGGCTTCTTCCGACGACATAGCAATAGTCGTCTCGTCGTCGGTAAAACTTGCCACTCTTCTCGGGGATTTGTACTTTTTCAATCGAGGTTGGCAGTAATCTGTAGTAGTATCATCGTGAGAGCTCTGAAATCTTGGTATACTGGTAGCCCTATGTAGAGACGCTGCCACAGGAGGGGCCAATCGCTGTCGTCTTTCGTTGTCATCGCCAGAGCTCTGATATCTTGGTATGCTGGTGGCCCTATGTCTTCTTTGGTTCTCATCGACTTGAAGCTTAGGAGCTTTCAACGCGCCTTTCTGGCCCGACTTCTCCATATATTCCAGCAGATCTGGCATATGCTCATCCAGAAAACCGCTAGAGTATCCATTCTTGATTGCTTTTCTCCTAAACTCTCTCCAAACCGCCTTATCGTCATTGGTATGAGTCGTTAATACCGTCGCTGCATCTGATTCATCTCTGCCTCTATTGTGTTCCTGTAATGATGCAAACGAGCGGAACTCCCTTCGAAACCGTTTAGTCTCCAGCAAATGATGCCTCGTACTTTCCTCAACCTTCCCCAACGAGTTCACTGCCAGTACGCCAAGAAACGCGGTGATACTCGATGTATAAGACGATATCCTTTGCCTGATCTCCGGTACGTCCTTCATGTCAGTATTTCCAAACAAGATCTTCAGCCCAAGTCTCTTGGCCTTTCCCGTTTCCCGGGACAATCCGTTGTATTTGGTCAAGGACTCGTCGATATCTTCCAGCATATCATCACATCCTATGAGAATGATATGTAATTGTTTGAGCGCTCCATTGTTCTCCTGATTTAACAGGGATCTCGGGTGGTCAGATTGGCCTCGTAGGCTTTCCAATATCATATGTAGATTCCCTAATTCCTGAGAAATCTGCGAATAGACGTCGCCTGCTTTTTTGGAATTTTGAAACGTCTCCCATGATAACTGCGTCAAGGATATGATCTGGCCAATTCCCAAATCAAATGACATCTCGGTTTGGATTGTACAGAAATCGTTGGATACCGGGTATAACAATGATTGCAAGGTCGACAAAACGTAGCAAACTATATCTAGAAGGACATCAACAATCATATAATAAAGCTGATGAGGTGTTGTGTAAATGCCCGGAAGATGGGTAAAGGCGCAGTCATCAAATGGCCCCCACTCGCATTAAAAGGAAACAATTGTATTGGCTTGTCTATTACCCCAGTTTGGTTTTAACTCCACTATCCCACTATCCAGACTGCCATCGTAATTGACAACAAATCGGACATCAGACATCATGTGATTGTAATGTATTATGCATGGGCAGGCTTTAAATCATATGGACCACAGCCTCTTTTATCAATCACACAAAGTCGTGAGTTTTATAATCACTCAAAATGATATTATATTAAACGGTAAATACCTGGAATAGCATCATTTTCAACTTTGATACCCGAAATAGCATATAAACTTTCTAATTAGACCTGAATTAATACATTGTGTTATTTCAGTCGTTTTTAAATAATGTATTAATCTGGTCTCAAAAAAATAAAATGATGCTATTCTGGTTTCAAATAATTTATATGTTATTTTGATTACAAAAATAAAAAGATGTTATTCTGATCACAAAATTCATATATTAGTCTGATCACAGAAAAAGAAAAGGATACTATTCTTGTTGGAAGTGCAGTCTAGGCTCACACAAGGTCACGGGATACAGTTCACGTGATATCGTCTATATGCACATGCCTCATGTACTTATACATATATCCAATCCCACTTGAATACCTCTAAGGATATATATATATAATATTATTATTGTTATATTTATTATAATCTTAGTAATATTCTAATAGATTATAATCTCATATTAATCAATATTTGCACTAATATATCGATTAATATATTTATAAATAAATAACAAAAAAATTAACTTTCTTCTTATCTTATACGAAAACTTCTTCATTAAGTATGAAAACTCTGATTTTTCGATAAAGTTTTAATTTATTATAATAATAGATTCTATAGGCATTGTATAAACTCGCTAGGGGCCTATTACAATCTTCAACAGCGACAATTGGATCGATTTCGAATAGATCTACAAAATGGTATTAACGGCTGTTCAGATATAGTCTATTATCAATAAGAATAAGGAAAAGCCAGAAGGATTAAAGAATACAACTAATCTATTATATATAGATTTTATAAAACAACTAACCAATAGTATCTCTATCTTCAATAGTTTTATAAAAACAATTCATTGTTTATTAATTCTTAAGTCAATTATTAAATTTGATATATAAGAGGTATAGAAAGTTTTCAAATTATATAACAAATCTAAGCATTCTTAATATTTTGCTAAAACAAGAGCAAAGTTCAGTTGAGAACTATTTAATCTGAAAATATAGTCAATATAAAAATTCATTAATATCCTATAAAACTACCAATTGCTTATATTAAATATCGAATCTATAATCACAAATATAGACATT